CTCTCAATCTCAACACTATTAACATTTGGGACCGGAATTTTTTGCCATGGGAATTGTCCTATCAGTTGCAGAATTTGTAGCAGCATCCCAGGCCTCTCCCCAGTAGATGCTAGTGATATCCACTCCCCCAACAAACAAAAGTATCTTCTGGTCTCAAATATCCCCTGGAAAGCAAAATCAACTCTGGTTATGATCACTGACTAAGTATTTTAAAAGGTGCTGTTACACTTGTAATATTATGTAAATCTTGGAAATGAAATATGTCTTGAGAGAGTGAACTATTTTTAGGAAAATAATTTGTTAAACAATTTATTCTCAATTTTCTGTAACATCATTTGCAAAACATAATGCATGAATTCCCAGGTGTAAATACTTAAAGATACATGTTTGAAATTATCTTATCTCTGTTGTTATGGCTAAAAATTTGTCAATTTTCTCTTTCCTGTTTCTCAATAGCGTGGCATCTCTGCTTGAAGCATTTATTTGTAATTTACTGATTTCATTTTTTAATATGCTGGCTATGTGACAGTATTTCCAAGCCATAGTATGGGCACGTGGCAGGACTCAGTGAGAGATGGGAAATACATTCTGTGTTCTCCCTCTGGATTCTGTGTGTTTTCTTTAGATATAGTATTTTCTAAGCCTCAGACGGAATACAACCTCTCCTGTTACGATTTAAGCATGGGTTTTCTGTAAATTCATCTGGTTTATGTTTGGGCTTGAGAAGAGCTTATTTCATGATACCAGAATTAGGGAATCAAAATGGGTGTGCTCAGTTCATTCTTCCCGGTATATTTTCCATTCTAAATGACTCTGACTTGAGTGGCAGTGTTGGAACTTACTGGAAAATATGAAATATCATTGTTGTTTGATGGATGGGATTAGAGCAGATAGAACAAAAATGCATTAAATTTTCCCCCAAGGGTTTCTTTTGTTAGTATTAGTTTATTTGGCTGGTTTCTTTATGTTTTTGCTCTCTGTTTTCCCTGTAGAATTTCCTGTAAACTCTGCCTGTCAATCCAATTTTTATTGCTTTCATTTTTAATACTCCAATTGGTACATTTTACAAAATAGACCAGCCATGCTAAAATTTGATGCATGATTTTCTCCGTCAGGATAAGAAGCTGAACCTAAATTTCTACGAGAAGTTAAGCCAATGCCTGATGTATGAGAAGGACAGTTTGTTGAGTGGTCATGGGTGTCTGTCATGTCATTATGAGCTCTGGACATGTCTTTCTGCTCACTGCCTCATAAATAAGATCTGTTAAGGATAAGACCTAAAGGGGATTATTAAATGCGAACCATGTTTTTCACAGGAAAGGGCTGTTTTGTCTGTTACTAATGCCCTGGCATACCTAGAAAGCAGGTATTAAATTTCCTCCAGTGTTTAGATATCACTAGACCCTCCTTTCTGGGATCTTATGTCTCAACTTCTTGTCTCTTTCAAAGACTCACCTTCTTTACTATTGTCATCTGGCATTTCCCATTCTGCACTGCATCATTATGTAGCTTTCTGTGGTACTCTGCCCTCTTCATTCGTACATTCCGTCCGTCACTATAGAGTTATTTGGCATAATGTGTTCCAACTTCCATTCTAGGCAACGAGATGACCTCAAACCTGTGTGAAATAATATTCTAAATGGAGAAGTAGTGAATAAATACATTGATTTCTCTGCATGGGCTGCCATAAAAATTATATAGTGACAGAATGACCTAAACAACAGAAATTTGTCTTCTCACTAGTTTTGATGGCTAGAAGCTCATCTGAAGTTCCTGTTGATTCAGTTTGTTAAGGGATCTTTGCCTGTCGTATACTGTGTTTCCCTCAAAATAAGACCTAGGTGGACAATAATCAGCCTTGAAAACTAGTGATCACAAATGCCAAGTCCAATTAGCCTATCCTTGCCTTACCTGCCTTACAGAAGAGCCACAAAGCAAGAGAATAGTGTTGGCAGAATACAACTTCTTTGGTATTTCCTTCTGCTAAGTGTGCTAATATTATCCAATCGAGGCACCATCTTTGTGATCGCCTTCTTAATTTCTTTGCTAGTGGCTCATTTCCAAATACAAAACCACCAGCAGTTAGGACTTCAATATACAAAATTTTGGAGTCATAAACATCCTTTTCATCATATGCATAAGTAATGTTTTAAAAATTATTACTTTAGACAGTGATAAACAAAAATAAGAAAAATAGAGAACAAGTGAGACAGAGATGGCTAGTGCTACTTTAGCTGCACACTTCTGCAAAGAAAAGACAACTGGACGAGACGAAAGACGAAGAAGAAAGTCTTCAGAGATCTGCAGACGCGAGCATTCTAGGTAGCAATATTTCTAAGTTCAGTGGCCAGATGGGAATGAGAATGGTATAAATGTGGGAGACAAAAGTCAGCGTAAGGGTTGGATCCCAGCTGGCTTAGAAAGGGTGAGGGTAGAAAAACGTGTCAGAGAGATAGGCAGTAGCTTGATTATAAGGGCCACTATAATGAGTTCACATCTTGTTTTGCAATGGAAAAGGATGGGGAAATTTCTAGTTGATGAGCATGGAGATAAGGTAAATTTAAATGATTAAATATACAAACCATAAAGATTATTTTACAGTCTTTTTCATCTTAGTTACACATTATAAATGCTCAATTTTTTGAAGTGGAAAGTTACATCCCTTTTTATGAAGCAAATATTTTTTAAAGATAGTTAATTTATGCAGAACGTATCTCCTTTTTTTAAGCATGCACTTCTAGAACTTTGACAAACACAATTCGGTGACTACAACAGTAAACCAGATATTGAATAGCTACATCCATCAAATTATCGCATTGTTCTTTAAAATTGATCCCATCTCCCACCCCCAGATTGTGGTACCCACTGACCTCTCGTCTGTAACTCTAGTTTTGCTCTTTCCATGTAGTGATATAGTTGGCATTATATGGTACACAGCCTTTTTAGTGAGACTTTTTTCATTTAGCATAATTCACTTGATACTCAGCAGTGCAATGTTTCAGTTATGGTCAGTGGCCTTGCCTTTGTGTGGACTCTACACAGACATATTCAATCAACTATAATAAAAACTATTTGAGAAAATATGTCTACAGTAAAAATTTGCAAACATTTTTTGTCATTCATTATAACAAATTTTTATATGTCACTTATATTGCAGTAAGTATTGAAAGTGAGCTTGGGATGGCACAGCCCAAAGCATACAGGAGGATGTGTACAGCTTATATGAAAATATGAGATCATCTTACATAAAGGACTTTCATATCTTTGGATTTAGCTATTCAGAGTGGACCGACAATCCCACAGAAACCAAAGGATGACTATATTTTTCTTTTATCACTTAAATATTCCAACTTATGGATGTACCTATCATACCTTATTGATTCAGTTAAATGATGGTGGGGCTGTTTCTAGTTTCAGTCAAGGGTTAAGAAAGATTTTATCAACATTTGCATGAAGGTTTTAGGTAAACAAAATATTACAATTTATCTTTGCTTAAGAATGGGATTTCAGATTCATACAGAATGTGTATGTTTAATTTTATAAGACACTTCCAATCTGTTTTCCAAAGTGGCTGTGCTATTTTACATTCCCATCAATAATAAAGGAGAGCTCCACTTTCTCTGAATCCTTGCCAGCACTTAGTATTGTCTTTTTTTTTTAATAGCTGTACAGCCAATCTCTTTTTTACTCTTCACTACTGTAAACTCAGGGGTTCAGTGAGCATGAATGTGTGAGTATAATGAACAAAACTTTTTTCAACTATACTTTTTAAAACCAAAAAGTATATGCCCTTTTGAGATCCTTGTTAAACTCTCAATAAATAAATTTAAGACTGTAATTCTCAAGTCATACTATAACAATTTACTCAGTAAATCCTGGAACATCACATTTTAATTCTACAGGCAAATAGGAGTCTCACAAACTGCTTCTTTTTAAATTAACCCATGAAATTCTCTGTTCAAATATCAGTCATTCATGAAGCTTAATTAAGATTTTATCTTACTAATTTAAAAATATGAATATAGTAACTGATTTTTGCTAAGCATCTGGCAGTGTGAAATAATGATTCGTTTTCCTGGATATATGGAGTTTCATAGTTAGCCAAGGAAATGCTCCATTCTCAGATGAGTTTTGTTTGTTCTGCGCGAGACCACATTAGTCTTCACTTACAGTGAGATGTGAAGGAGGAAGCATGATATAAAATTCTACCAAAGCGTTAGGTGAGTGGCAAGACTGAGGAATAGCCTGAACAAAGATGGGTGTGTCACTGATTTCTACATCTAGGAGCTACCCTTTAACAGATCTCCAGAAGAATGATTTCTCTTCGATTTGTGAATTCTTAATCTCACTCGGTGTAACTTTATGACTGTTGTGAAGGGTCGTGGAGGACTAGAAACTTTATTGCTCCTCACAGAATCACTGAGAATTGTCTCATCAGTCCAGTGTCTCTCTCAGTGCCTTGACAAACACCAGAAAATCATCCCATTCCAACCTAGACTCCATACGACCTCTATCTTTTCTTTTCATGGACCCTAGCACCAACTATCCAGAGCTTTCAAGGACCTGATCTTCATTTCTGAATAAAGAGACAGATGCAATTCACCCCTATGCAGCATCAGTCATATTTCTAGAGCCTGGTGTTTTCATTTGCCTTTCTTTCAAAGCGCTTTAGACTAGCATTACCTTTTTTTTTTTAAAGAGTGGTGCCTATGGCTTTTCTCCTCCAATAGTTAAAGATGCTACTATATTCCCCTGGCCTAAGAGAGACTTTGTTCAGGTAATTTTATAAGATGACTTGAAGTGGTTGCTTTGCTTAGATGATTTATTTTCTATTATTGGAATCAGACACTGCGAAGTTCCCGAATGTGCCTGCTAACAATTGGTGAAAAAACGTGCAGGTGAAACTGTTGTCTTTCCCAGTTGTTCTTGGTAGCATTTGATTAGTGGCCAGGCATGCAGCAGCTTCATGAATCTTCTTTTTTTGTTGTTTCTGTTTGCAGATTTTATTCTTCACCGTACAGCATTGCAACCAACCGCATGATCCCACAGACATCTATCACGCCATTCATTGCTGCTTCCCCTGTCTCCACATACCAGGTATGTCCAATTTACCTGCACCTCAGGAGAGATCTTCCTTGCCATTAACACACTATCTAGAGGCAAAAAGAACATGGTAGAATTAAAGCAAAAATTGTCCTCATACACTTTAGTCACATCTTAATGTAATAATGCTAAAGTTATGAATTAGCCTATTACCTCTAGGACTGGTTTGCATCAATTCACCGAATAATAAAACCCAACTTGCTTTCATTCTTCCTGCTGAGTTTTTCTGATTATGCTGCTTTCCAGCCAATATTAGGACAGCTCTCTTACCACTGGGAAATTGTTTTGCTTGTTGTCTTTTATTTTGGTCGTTTACGTTCCCTATTGTGTCTTTTCTTAAAGCACATTTTTAGGCATTCCTTCTCTTACTCCAGGATATTTTATCACTGTCATCTCATTTTGTCACAGTTGTCCTGGTAAAGCTATACAGATAGATGTTAAATCATTCTTCCCCCAGATAGAGAGATCATCAACGTGGTAAAAAGTTATTCCTATTCCCTGCTCTTACTTTATTCTCAGTCCCAAAGAGATCAAAAGAGATGTCAGGGACTCCATTTGTTGAAATAGAAGAAAAGCTAAGATTTAAGATGGGTTCTAAATCAGATGTTCTAGCCAGTTAATTCCAAGTACACAGGTGGATTATGAGACTCACATTTGTACCTCAAAAAATAACAATTATCTTATTCCTTTGAGTTACCAAGCATATGGTATTACCCCTTGCTCCTTTTTACTTAATATTGTTCTTCAAATAATTCTTTTATTTCTAATTTAGAAGATACCTTTAAATGCTACCTATAGAAAAAGAGTATCTAGTGTATTTAAAAAAAAATTTGGAGAGAGAAAGAAAAAGAGTGTGTGCAAGTATGCGTATGCATGGGTTGCTCTGTACTATGCAGATGATTCAGGGGACATTTTATGTTGGGCAAAACTGTAATTGCTGACTGCTAGTGTTGTAGATGAAATTTCATCTTATTCGGGTACTACATACTTCATCTCAGGATGCCCCAGCTGTCAGAACCTCAAATTTGAGAAAACATATATTTTTCTTAACTAATTCCCCCAAAGCAGATCATTTTCATTCATACACACACACACACACACACACACACACACACAGATTTGAAACATGTCCATGGGTGAGTGGAATAGGCATTTGTTTGAATTGCATCAGGGTTCCCTAGAATGGCAGCTTTCTTATTGCCTCTCCTTGGGACTCATGAAGCTATGCACAGGTGCTGTCACTTTTTGTTCTCCCAGCAGGCCTGCCTGCTTGTGTGTGTGCATGCACACGTGCATGTGCATGTGTGTTTTCTTTTCTCTGATCTTGGCCTTGGTCTCAGCCAAGACCACCCACTGAGCTTCAGTGTAGATCACTTCGATGATATGAATAAAATGTTCACAGAAAAGTGCTTTTACTTGGGAGGGCTCCTAAGCTGAATTTAACTCTAGCTCCCATCTTTCAAAGAAGAGATTACTGCAATTTCCCATGTTGTTCATTCTTCCCTTTCATCACCTTTTAAAATCCAAGGTGTATTGGCAATTTTGTTGGTGTGAATATATTGAAAACAAAATCTTTATGGTTTTTTATATGACAATCAGCTTATACAGGCTGACTTTTTCATTTGGCTGACACATGATACATTTAAGAAGAGTTGGCTGGCTCAAATGCTCATTTTTACTTGCTATACTAATTGCAATGACAGCAAACGGAAAATACAAACTTACTTAACTTGGGCTTACCCCAAAATATTATCCCCAAATTTCTGATTTATTTCACAAATTCTTACCACCAGTTGTACTGGTTGGACATATTTCTAAGATGGAATCACCAGGGCCTTCAAAATTACAACCACTAATAGAAAAAGAGGACAATTTAGCAGTCAACTCTTCCTTCCAAATTATTTCAAAGCATCCTGGGGCGTTGACATGCAAATGATCTCTGAGGCCTTTGAAGACTTTAGTCTTCGACACCAATGTCAAAATGTGCTTCAGAATCCAGCATGTTCTGTGTGGGCATGGAAGCCAGCCAGTGAAATGGGAAGTTGCTTTACATTTCATCATGTTTCAGGGATGAAATTAATCGGGTCATGAATTCTCTTTTTATCCTTTATTTTGAGCACTGATTGGCTTTAAGGGCAGATGGACTCCACTTTCTCATGACCTAGTGTGACTCCACTGAACGCAAAGAACCAAGCTCTTTCTGTGATTGCTTTGTGCTAATAAATGCTGTTTGATGCATAGGTCCAGAGTACTTCATGGATGCCTCATCCGCCATACGTTATGCAACCAACAGTAAGTGTTCTCAGTCACCTGAGGCTAAATATTTCTGTTATCAAAGTGCAAGCTTTTGTAATGCATAAAAGCTTTGGGGTAAAGCTTTCATTCTATTCAGTAATTCTTCAGGCACCCATAGTCTCCAGATGAAAAGCCGTTCCTGGAAAATCTACAAAAGCATGTGCAGTATAGCAAGAGTTAAGATATAGAGACAGAGGGGACATATAAAGAGACCCGGAGAGAAAAGAAAAAGAATGAGCAAACTCCCCTATTGGAGGGGATAGCAGCCAACCTCCCAAGTCCATGTATACCATTGGTTCTGCTTCGTACAGGAAATCAGAACCCTGAATAATTAAATCCATTATACAAAGAAAGTTTTGGTTTTCTGTCTCTTATGCTTTGCTTATTTCAGATGCAGTCTGATGAGATTTGCAGGAAATTTTGAATATCATAGCCAAGTGTTGACCTGAAGTACTACATTCAAAATGTGGTGATAGTTATCTATTAATAGATGATTGTATATAGGTAGCTAGATGGGTAGATATTCTTTGTATTAACTATCTGTAGCTACTTTTTTCTTTAGAAAAAAAAATGTCTTTAAAAAATATTCAAACTCTATTTTCTGCTCACTAAATTTCCCAATTTGTGGCACATTACATTAGTTCCAAGTAAAAAGTATGACAGTGTATATTAGAATCTAGAATGAAGGCTAATGACTCCTTTTATCTCTGACTTACTTTCTAGTATATCTCTATAGAAGTATGAGAGGAGAGAGTGAGAGAGAGAGATATAGAGAGAGATATTTATGAGATATGAGGCTGAAAGAACCCTAGGCAAAATAGTTTGAAATTCTCTGGTAGCTCATGCCTGTGCCTTTGTTTCCTTGTCTATACTTGTCACTATACTTAACCGAGCTTTGGAAAAGATCAAATGAGAGAGTATATGTAAATGCAAGGTAAAAATATGCCACACTGTACATTATTTTCATCATCATACAATATTAATGTGCAAAGAAAGAACATTGACACATTCTAACCCTTTTAGGAGTTAAATAAGTTTAAAGTAGCAAACATTAAAGACCAGAGAGCTAAAAGCACTGATATCCATTTACTGGGCTCAAAATCTGATTTTCACATTTGAAGTTTGCTCATTTTACTTTTTAAACAAAAAATTTTTCCATACTGTTCCTAATATTTCTATCATTTTTAATTTATAGACTACACTATATGTGGCTTACCACAGCAGAACTTTGAACCATATTTTTCTAATCCCCCTATGTGCCATTATTTATACACCTTGGGGGCTTTCTGAGTTCATCTTATCTATGTGCTATAAATCATACCAATATGCAACACATCCAGGCTATATACTTCTATCCAAGTCATGAGGGAAAATTCAAGATGTGCTGCCAAATTCATATAGTACAGAACAGACCAAGCCAACACAGAAAAGTAAAGAAGTCCTGCCAAGTTCTGAAGAGAAGATATTCTAAAAAAAAAAAAAAAAAAAAAAGTCCATTTTCTAAAATATAATGTGTTCATCTGTAGTTCAAAAATGCTAACTTGGTCTTTTAACCAAGGTTAAGCATCATTTCTTTGTGGCTAAAAGGAATACATATCTGGCAAAATCTGAATTTTGGAAACATCAAAGTAAATAAGATTCTCCAGTGCTTGAATGAAGGTTGTTGAATACATGTTTATTTCAGTTATTATCCAGCACCTAAGTAAAGATTTTAAGATACCTTCTCTTCCAGCCACTACTTCAACTCCATGTATACATGGATATTTCTCATATATCTTCCTTTAAGAATAGAAGTGTGTGTGTGTGTGTGTGTGTGTGTGTGTGTGTGTGAATGACAAACACAAGATAGTCATTCCCTCTACAGAATCATTCAGTGACTACTATGTAAGGGAAATGCCCATTAGTATCTATTTTACAAATAAATTCAAAGTGGCAATGCAAACATCTCAAATATGTCGAGCATAAATCCAACTTGTTCCCAGTTTTCCTCTTCAGTCAGTTTCTCTTCCCCACGTTAAGATGATCTCGTAAGTTCACCTGGTAGAAACCTCCCCTTTCCTCATTGTCATCCATGCCCTCTGGCTCTTCAGTGGGGCCAGATACATCAAACTACCAGAAACCTTTCAAGTCCCTCTCAGGCTTCACATGAGGGGTCCTGAGGTCTCAGTCAGATTTGTGCCTGAAAACAAGAAGTGTTTTAGGGAAGTATTACACACATACTTTGGGATGAAACTGAGGACAGTACTCTTGGTGTTATCGCTAGCATGGATGAATATTTAAACACGAGGTATAACAGTTTGGTAAGAGAGGACTGAGTGATGGAGAGAAGGGAAGATAAATAGTAAAAGGATAAGAACAGAAAAGAAAATGACAACAAAAAGTTTGCTGAAGTTTGCCATTCCAATTTGCTTCATTGTAGATTTAGAAAAAGATTCTTGAAGTAAGTGATAAAAGTCTCCAATCAGAGCTTATAACCATTACTGTAGCATTTGTGCAATAAATCAGATAACTGATATTGGACCCTGAGTCATTATTGGATCTCCTGAAAAGTGTGAATCCCCAGTTAGGGAAGCAAGACTTTTCTCTTTTCAGTATGTTTCTCATAAGAGCTGACTCTTAAGGAAGAAGAGCTGTGACATAGTAGGAAGATTTCACTTTAGGAGCTGAGCAAGTAAAAATGCTGACCGTTTCAATGCAGTTGGTATTTTTCTGCTTCTCAGTACAGAGCTCTGCCCTGTGCTCTGAAATCTCACCATTAGACTGACAGAATTTTAATAGTTGATAGATTGCACAAAATATCTACAGAGCAGCATTGTGAACTGGAACGTCATGTGAATGCACAATGGAAATTCTCATGTTCCGATGCATTGGGTAGTTTGTTAAGTCCATTATGTTGACAAGACAGGAAAAAAAAAAAGATAGTTCCCAAAGGAAATCCAAGTTCCATTGCTTTAAATTCTGTTTAAACTCATTTGACTCATAAATCTTTGTTATTCATATGGTTAGCGTTACTTCATCTCAAGGAGAAAGGTCAGCTTTCATTTTTACTTAATTACAATTTGGTTATCTAATTACAGTACTGTAAGAAATGCAAAATGCCCTTATTGACTCTTTGGAAGATTTGTTGCCATGCATGACTAAATTCTAATTTTTATGATAAATACACTAAGTTTATAGCTAAAGAGCAAATGTAAACTTCCTTTCCATAGCCAGGCTGTTTGAGAAAGCCATAATACTTATTTTGATTATCCTGTACTTGTAGACAGGTGATGCCTAAGTCAGAGGTGTGTCCTCCAAATTTCTAGGCACAATTTCTGAAAAACACATATCAAAAAATTTGGAAAATATTACAATATTGTTCAAAGGGCAAGATTTTCATATTTTTATTTTGTATTTCAACACGGTCTGAGCAAAAAGAAAAAACTTTTATTTTTTAAACTAAAGTACTATTTCAAAGTACTTCTGTTGTCTACATAGTTAACGTGGCTGAAATATTACATATGTTCATATAGAATAGTCTTCAACTACACATAACTACAGCCTCGCTAACCTATATATACTTCTGTCAGAAAAGAATTCAAATGAGTGAGACTACCCTTTAGCAGGACATCTTCATCTCAGCACCATCTCCTTTTAAATATACTTTTAAACTGGAATAAAGATGAACAAAACAATTTTGACAGCAAATCCCTTAGCTACTATTAAAAATGTAGAGGTCTCTTTGCTGTTGTTAGATGTGACCCAATATTCTACAGTATGTTTTCAAAAATAAACTTAAATGACTTTAGGAAACAAAAACGGCAAACATTAAAGTTCAAAGCTCAAAATTCAAAAGAATATAGAATATTAAAAAAACTTCCCAAATAGGATTCCTTTCACTTTCAATTCTGTTACCTGGAAATAAACCTTAGTAGCAAAATCTTTTGTCACCATTCAGTCAATTTTTATGAACACATATGGAGCTATATATGGACATATGGGTAAATGTGTGTTGTTAGCATACATACAAGATTACAAGTATAGTATCACAACTTTATTTCCCTCCAATAGTAGAATTGTTTGTTTGGTGTAGCTGTAACATAATATGCAAGGCTGGGTGCTTTTTAAAGAAAAAGACTTATTTTGGCTCACAGTTTTGTAGGATAAATATTCTTGGCTGGGAAGCCAATTGGATTGGGGAAAATTGTACAACAACTTGGAAAAAGATGGTTCCAAAAAATGGCTGTCTTTCCATTAGAATTCCTTACATCTTTTGCTTCTCTTAAAAAGTATCCCTCTCATATATATTTTATACATTTCTTAGACATTTTCTTTGATATATTTCATTTTTCTAATATAGGTGTGACATTTTTAATTTTCTCACATAACTTTGATGTATAGGAAGACATTTTTGAATGAAATTTTCTTTTAGAAATATTCTTTAATTATTCAAAATTTAATTGTTGACCTTAAGAATATATGCCTAAGTAAAAATAGAATAAAAAAATGTTAAATCTCTCTCAATGAAAAATAACTCCATTTAATATCTAATGGTATATATTTCAAGATATTTATCTATACTTATATCTACCTCTACTTATCTATCTACACCTATTTATATACACAAACTCAATCAACCATGGAAATATAATATGTGTGTATCTTTCTTTCACAGTACATAGTTTTGTATTGATTTACCCAAAGCAAGAAACAATCAATTACCATATATTATATCTGGTTATTGTCTCCATTAAGGCTCCTTTAGTGTAGCACAGACTCTTTCCTTCCCACAGTGTTCTGAATTAGCTGAACTGTGGACTATCACACACTTGAGAAATACTTGGTTGGTTCTTCATGATGCAATTTATCCCATAAATTTAATTTATCCCTGTTCTTCTATCCCATATATGCAATAATTTTTGTAAGCAAATATGATTCTTAATTCCCTTGTTATTTACAATAGATTATGGCTTTGATATTTAGATTCCCCTCATTTCATAATCCATTTTCTAGCCCAA